ACTTTTCTATAATAGGTTTTGAGTGCCTACTATGTTCCAGGAATGGTAGTAAATATCTTTAAAAGATTTTTTAAATTGTATAGTAATATTTAAAATGATATCTGAGGGCCGGCCGAGTGGCGCGTTGGTTAAGAACAGGCTTGGGATGCCAGAGGGCCCCGGTTCAGATCCCACATATGAGGGCCAGTGACACTGCCCTCTGCAGCTAAGATGGTGAACGACAGCTCGACCTGGGGCTGGGCTGCCGTGGGTCACCAGCGACGGCGTAGGCTGCAGCCCCTGCTGCAGTGGGTTGCCATAAGCTACCGTGTGTAGCCAGCAGCCAGCATGAGAGGCCAGAGGCCGGCGACTGATCTGCCTCACCCAGGAAGAGCGCAATGATGGTGCCAGCTTGGGCCAGTGAAGCAACATCCTCCACAACTAGACTGAAGAACAAAAATAACAGCAACTTGTCTGTTCCCCTTCCCCCAATCCCCCAGCGCTGTTCCCCTCCCCCAATTCCCCAATAAAATCTTAAAAATCAATCAATCAATCAATCAATCAATCAATCAATCAATAAAATGATATCTGATAGTAGGTTATAGCCTGAACAGTAAAGGGAAAATAAAAGAACAAAATATATTCTATTTTATACTCCAGTACTAACAGAAATTAGTCAGTAAATGAGATGGCAAATGTTAGTGCAACTTTTGTCTGTTACCTATTTTACTACAGAGAAACTAAAACTTAAAAATTAGTTTTTCCAGGGGATAAAACCTTCTACTTGTTTTTAATATGCCTTATTTTTTAAAACAATAATAAATCTATTTGGCTGAACACAGGATTTGTTCTGTAAATTTGTATATATTAATAGCTAATCATTAACACAAGCAATTTTGAGAGATTTTCAGAAATGTATCTAAATTCTATTTCCAGGGTAAGATGAAAGCAGCCATCCATCTGACTATTTCTTTCACTGTAATCAAATTTGTATTTTTTATATCCATCTAACCATTCATCCATCCAACAAATATATATTGAAGTCCTGTCATGGCAAAGGCACTATGCTAGGTCCTGTGAAATATTTAACACAGACATTTTTACTTTTTATTTGTAGTTCTAAACTTATTCCCAATTGTGAAGTGAAATAATTTATTACATCAGCTATCTGTCCTGACCTGCCTCGTTACCGTTTGATCTCTGTATCATAAAAAATTGTATTCATCTTTCCACAATGAAGTCTCCCTTTCATCCCTGTCCCCTAGCAACTCTTTCCCCAGAGGCAACCAATGTGTTATTTTCTTATATATTCTTCCAGATGCATTTTATGTATTAAGCAAATATGTATATATTAAAACCTCATACAGATTTTTCTTTTTCTTTTTCTTTTTTTCTTATTTCCTCATTCTTTCATATATCTCCATACTATTCCATTGCATGGATATATAATTTATTTAATTATGGACATTTCCATTAATTTTAATTTTATGCTATTCTTAACAATGCCAAAGTAAAAGTCTTATATTTAAATATATTTGTGGGGTATCTTACTAGAGCTTGAACTTCTGTGTGCATTTGTAATTTTGGATAAATATTGTCAATTTGCCCTTTATAAAGAATGTGCCTGTTTCTCCAGACTTAACAACATATGATGGTGATCTTTGCAGATCTGAAGGATGAAAAATGTCACCTCAATGTACGCGTAATTTTAATTTGTATTTCTCTTTTTATTAGTGAGGTTGAGAATCTTTTTATATGTTTTAAAAGCCATTTATATTCTCTTTTCTGTTTCTCTTAGGTTACTGTGGTTAATAAACCTTATATATTACTTATGTTACTTATATAAACCTTATAAACTTTATATTACTTATAGGGAAATAGGAAATTATTTATATATCAGGAAATTAGCTTAGCACTTTGTCAGCGAATTGCAAATAATTTTTTCCCAGTTTTATATTTGTCTTCCAAGTTAGTTTGTGGTAGCTTTTGTCATGCAGAAATATTTATTTTTATTTTGTAGAATTATCTTTATGGATTTTGGACTTTGTGTTGTTATACTTTGGCTTTCCCTACTCTGAGATAATTTTCTTAAGTTCTTCATGTTTCCTGTAGTACTTTGATGACTAACAAACATTCTTAATCACTATAAGTCTAAATTGTTTAGTGCACAGGATCAAGTTCCCTGTTTCAATTTATATCTGAGCTATTTAGCAAGACAGTCCCATGGAAATATAGAATAGTAATAAGGAGCTTGGACTCTGGAGTTGATAATTTGAGTTTTTCTGCTTCTGGACTGTATGACCTGAGGGCACGCTACTTAATTAACGTCTCTGAGCCTCAACAGCTTCATCTGTAAAATGGAGATGATAAATCATACTTAGTTTGCTGTGAGAATAACATGAGATGATTCATTTAAAGCCCTTAGCATAATACTTGACAAGCTGGAAGCATTCATTAAGTATAAACTATTACTGTGATAATGATGATGGCCATAGACTATTCTTTCAACCCCTAGTACCATCCTATAACTCATGACTTTAATCACAATGGGTTGAATAAAAAAATGCATTCCAAATTTGCCAACCTTGCCACTTCAGCATTAACAATCCAATCTCCTTTAAGCATTATAGTTCTCGATCATGGCAGTACATTAGAATCACCTGAGTAGAATTTTTTTTTTTTAAGATTTTATTGGGGAATTGGGGAAGGGGAACAGACAAATTGCTGTCCTTTTGTTCTTCAGTCTAGTTATGGAGCACATAGCTTCACTGGCCTATGTTGCTATTATCATTGCACTCTTCCTGGGTGAGGCAGTCACTCGCCGGCCATTGGACGGCCGCTCACGACAGCTCACGCAAGCTCACACCAGCTCCCGGCCAGCCTCACTGTAACCTACGCCATTGCAAGCAACTCACAGCAGCCCAGCTCCAGGTTCACCATCTTAGCTGTAGAGGGCACAGCATCACTGGCCCTCATGTGGGATCCGAACCGGAGCCCTGCTGTTCAGAGCTGGTGTCCCAAGCCAACTCCTAGCCAACACACCACTCGGACGGCCCCTGAGTAGAATTTTTAAACTCCAAATGCCTGGGTCCCTGCCCCAGAGATTGTTTTAATTGGTCTGGGGATGTGGCCCAGACATGAGTGTTTTTCAAAAACCCCTTTTGGTGATTTCAATGGGCAGCTAAGATCTAGTATAGAATCACTATCCTAACAATAGGCCAGGTTACTGATATGAAGGAAAACATATTCACTGCTACTGAAGAAATATATAGAAATCCTTTATAGGTAAAATGCCATGAATTAGGAATACATTAAAAGGAGAACATAGAAGTGTTTAGACAGGTGTCAGAGATATTGATGAAAGGAGTTATGAAGTTGAAGATATTCCTCATATATATTCATAAGACATCTTTCTCAGAAAAGCTCAGGGAAGCTATACTCTAAATACGTTTATAATTGTTACTTAGAGTAAGGGACATAAAGTGTTTATACTATTTATTAGATGTGTTAACTGAAGAAGGGAGATAGGACTCGTCAGCTGTTGAATTAGACAAATTTAAGATTCTTATTACCCCCATTGCTTTTCTGGATAATTCTGAAAAATAAATTATTTCTGGTCATGAGTAATACATCTTATCCCCTTACACAGTTTACCAGTTTAGGAAGGATTTGGAATGGTTCTTTAGCTTATTTATAGATACAGTGTGAGTAGGATATACAAGATAATTAAGTATTACCAAATTCAAGGAAAGAGCTCTGTGGTTTAGAGAGAGTGGACAAGGAGTCAGGAAACCAAGATACCAGTTCCTGAGCTTTAGTTTCCTCAGGTACAAAATAAGAGAATTAAGAGTTCTCAAAGGTTTCTTTCAGCTGTCTCACCAAGTCACCTACGTCAAGTCTTTCTTAGTCAATTGAATACAGAAAAAGTATTCTAGCTCAAGCTTTTAAAATACATATTTCATAGCCTGGTCTTTATCTACACCTTCTCAAATATTAAACTGTCTTGATGATATTAGATTAATATATGCATATGTCCTGCCTAACTAGTACGTTTACATACTATATTTAATTGGGGGCCATTGGTGTCTTCACCCAGAGGGGTGACTAATGGGGGTGGGTGCATCTTGAGACTGATGAGAATATTTTGGAACATGAGCTTTCTATTGCCCTTCAAACCATGCCTTGTAGATAACTTCATTTAGGACCAATCCCAGATCCCCCTTCTACATTTTCTTCTAATCTTTTCTACTTCTTTTTTTGCATATATTACTCATGATCATTAAGATTCACACAATTCTTGTATTGGTTGTCTTTACATCACCTCTTCCCTACAAGAGTGTACGTTTTTTTGAGGCCAGGATGTATTTATATTATATCCCTTACATGAGACTGATAAATGTTTAAATGAATTAAGTTGTTAAAAAAATTAAATTATTTCAGTTTCATTGTTTTCTTTTATTCTGTGCTACTGTAACTTTCATAGTTTGCTTTATAATATTTCCAAGTTTTTTACACAGTACTATTACATAGTCTTATTTCGCAACAGTATCCTTTAACTACTTTCTGAATAGATCAATGAGCTTTTCACTCTCAAAAGTCTAGAAGTAGTAATTAATAAAGCAAGGATGTAATCATGATACCAAAATACAAAATAAATAATGTATTAGGTAAGCTTTTAGTAGTAAATGTGTAGGATAACTTCAAGAGAAGTGTTATTTTGAGGTAGCTTAGGTATGCTATCGATTTGATCAAGTATTATATATACATCAAAACTAAACTTTAATATGTTAATTATAATTTACTAAACTTACATTATTCTGAGTTAATGATTAATAACTATGTATAAGTTATTAAATATCATGAAGCATTAAAATAAATCCGAAGTATGTAACTCAGAAAACTAAGTTATGATAGTACTGACATTTGAGTATAGTAGTAGGAAATTGAGTATGATAGTATTTTGATGAAGAATAAAATTTCAATTTTAAGTTAGTATACAAAAATCTGTTTAAAAATGTATATTTTCAAAGAGCTCATATATGACTAAAGATGTTAGCCATTTGTCATGCAAATGAAATGCCATGTTCTTTGCTATCTATCATTTTACTGTGGTGTTTTACTCTTTGATTGTATAGAAGTTGTGTATTGAAATACAGTCATGTTGTTTATTTAAAAATCTGTTTAAATAAAATAAAATCAACATTACTATTTTTTTATTATAATTTCACCAAAATTACTTTAACAGCTTATCAAATAGTGAGATCTAAGAAATATAGATACTATATATTCAGAGATAATTTCATCTGATTTTAGCTTAATAGTTAAGCTGGGATTTTGAATTGTAAGAGTGATGCTTGAATAGCAGTTGAAAATTATCCATCCTCCTTGTCCCCCTTTAAGTCTACCTTTGTGGGCTCTTGAAAAAAGTTAAAAAACGATAACTCTTGAGATTTGCCTAGATTACATTATCAGCTCCAATGTACACATGTACTTATCTTGAAGATACAAAAATAACCCCAATTTTTTCTGTAACTATGATCATTTCGCAGTATTGGTAATTAGTTACATCCTTTGTTAATTGTTCTTCACTTACTGTCTTTTAGGCTCATTCTTTCATGTTAATCTGCTAATAAGCAACGTTGCTGTCAAGGGCAGTAGGGAAAAAAAGACCATTTAAAACAAAGCTGGCAAACATTTGGAGTTATTTGTAGTTTCGAAAATTCTTAATTCAAAAGTCACATGTATTATGTACATTAAAATTCGTTTCACAAAAGGAAATTATAGATATGGAAAAGTTGCTTTAGAGGAAATTTCACTAATAAATCTATTATCTTTCAAATTCGAAGTGATTGAGTTAAATATTGATCCTTCGCAAAATATTTTCAGCGGCATATTCTAGATACAACTTTTTAAAGGTGTGTTTTTTAGTTTTAAGTATGTAGGGGTCCAGTAGGCATGATGACATTTTCTAACACACTTTTTTGGTCTTTTCCTCTACTAAATCTTTGAATTGCCCTCTCTAAGTATTAAAAAGAACTGCTGTCAAGTAAGGTATTTTCTTTTCAAGATGGATGTTTACACAAGCAAATATTGTTTTAGACATGAGAATTCTAATTTTGAAGAAAATATCAAAATAGTTTTTATTTCTTATTCCTTGTTTCTCTTCCTATGTTTAAAATACAAGTTAAATCTTAATTGGAATCATTTTCCCCTCGTGTAACCAAGCGATGGTACCAGGCTTGAAGATGAAGTCTTTACTTTGTTAGCCATGTGTTTATGAAACCCCAGCGCTTTTCCTAGATCTTTTGGCTGATAATCTCAAACATGGAGGATGCTTCTGATTCTTCACAAGGGGCTGCTCCATTAATTAATAATGTAGCTCTCCCAGGCTTTCCGCCGTCTCTTCCTGTATCAGTGACAAGCTGTAAAAGTCATCGAGTAGCCAATAAAAAGGTAGAAGCGAGAAGTGAAAAGCTCCTCCCAACAGCTCTTCCTCCTTCTAAGCCGAAAGTAGATCAGAAACTTCCCAGGAGCTCCGAGAGGCGGGGAAGTGGCGGTGGGACGCGATCCCCCGCGCAGAGCCAGGCGGTGGCAGCTGGAGGAGCGGCGGCCGGTGGCGCGGCGGGGCCGGCGAGAAGCGACCCCCCGGGAGGACAGAGCCTCCCCTTGCTGCCTTTGCTAGTTGAGAAGGTGGAGAAGTGGCAGTAGGTGTGCTCGCAGGTGAGGGGCTCCGTGTGGTCGCTCGGGAGCCGGCCGGCAGGGAGGTGTAAGCGAGCGGGGGAACAAAGCAGAGGGGTGCCGGGGTCCGCCCGCAGCGAGCTCCCTTGCGGCGTCAGGCCGGCCGGCTCCGCGACGAGCACGTTGTGAGCCCCGCCGCGGCGGCGGCGGCGGCGGCGGCGGGCAGGGAGCCGGCGCTGGGGGAGGGGGCCGCCGCTCCCGCACCGCCCGCCCGCGGGGCGTCCAACCCCATTGTGAGCCGGCAAACGGGCGTGCGGAGGTGGGGCGCGCTGGGAGTGCAGAGGCGGCGGCGGCGGCGGCGGCTCCGCTTGCTTAACACCCCGGCAGCGACCGGAGCGACCTCGGCTCTGGTGGCAGCCGCGGCGCGTCAGTCACACAAAAGGCAGTCGTCTTCCCCGGCGCGCGGACCGGCCCATGCCGCCGCCGAGCGCTCCCCCACCTTACCGGCTTTCCTTTCCCTCCAATTTTGATAGGGAAGCGGGGCCGACGCGGGCGGCCGAGGGTCCGAGTGAGCCCGCGGGCGGACAGGAGATGCCGCTGCTACACCGAAAGCCGTTTGTGAGACAGAAGCCGCCCGCTGACCTGCGGCCCGACGAGGAAGTTTTCTACTGTAAAGTCACCAACGAGATCTTCCGCCACTACGAGTAAGGGCCCGGCCGGGCGCGGGGCGTGAGAGGGGGTGCGGGGACTCCCTCCCCAGCGTCCTTTTGTCTCCCCTCCCTTTCCTCGCCCCGGGCTTCTGGCGGGGCCACTAGAAAATGACGGGTGGCCTCAGGCCCGCGTTTCTGTGTCCCCTGAGCCCGACCTGGTGACTGCGCGGGGTCCCAGGGCGGCACGACCCGCCGAGGCGCGTGTAGGGAAAGCGGGCCGGGGCCAGGGAGGCTAGGGTCCCCGGCCCGCCGTGGGGACCGCTTCTAGCTTCGGCTGCCGCCGGGCAGTCGGGCGGCGGAAACTCCCCGCCTCGCTCCTCCCCGCCGCGGCCACACGCGCACTCCGGGGCCAGTTCCGGGATCCCCGCCCGGCAGCCCGGGGGATCCCCGCTCAGGTCAGCGGCACGGGGCCGCTGTCCCCCGGCCTGGGGAGGGAATCCCCGCCCCCGGGGGCAGGAAACGTCCGGGCTGGGAGTCGTTTTTCTCGGTCAAGAGTGGAACCTGACGTCGGAGCTGCCTAGGGTAGGGGCGGGAGGGAGCGGAGTTGAGAGTCAGGGAAGGAGGGGCCTCGCTGGGGGCTGCGGGGCCCGGGTACGACCCTCCGCCGGCCGCCTCCTCTCCGGTGCGGTTAGGCCTCGGACTGGGCGACGCGAGCCGTGCGCTCTGTCACCGCCTCTTCTTGGTGACTAACTCCCGGCCCCGGGGAACTCAGCGTCTCCGCCTCCGGGAAACCGGGTGAGGAAGAAGTCTGGGCTGGGCGGAGGGAAGAGGAGGGGGAAAGTGCAGAGCCCCGGGCGCCCCTCGTTTTCACTTTCGAATAGCCGGGTAGGCCGCCGTGGGGGTTGGGGGAGGGGGTGAAGACAAGTTCAACTCCAGCCTCAGCCAGTCTCTTTATCCCCCTGCGCATGTGGGCCGCCTGACATGTGCCACTCGCTATTGTTTTGATAAGAATCCGGAGCTGCTGCGTGTGTAGTTTGAACCCCTACATTTTCAGTCTTTATCCTCGTTTATCCCGAGAGATCCTCTTGTCCTGTGACTCCAAACAACTGGGTATTTTTAGAGATCTGTGTTTAAATACAGTTATCTCCAAGTGAGAACCTGAATTGATCAATCCCTGAAACAGCGTGGTTCCCCCCTTTTCTTATGCTTTATTCTCTCCACTCAGAAGGAATCTTTTGTGGCTTAGAAACCAAGTGTTATAGCAACGAAGTAAACTGTGTGTAAGAGGCACCTTTTCTGAGTTGAGGCTTGATCGAGGGAGGGCTTTAGTCAAAGCTGCACCTGTCTGAGAAATGAATACATAGTGAAGTTAGTAAAGTCAATTCCTTTAAGCTTTTAAGTAAGCCTTCCTTCTTTTTCTTCAGCTCCACAGAATATTACACACAAACATGTTATATCTAGAGAAGTTTTTCAGCAGACAGTGCTTCTTAAATAGGAGTGTACATCTTACTCTGCTCCTGTACAGACTTGTTTTGTTACTCAAATAGAGTTTACTCTTGTAACTACTTAAGTGAATTTGGATTAGGTAACTTGACAAGGATGATGTCTTTTTTTTTTTTTTAAGTTTAAGTTAAATTCTTGGTAATAATTCCAAATTATTTTTTAAAATTGTATTTAAGAATGCCAACAAAATAGGAAACGGGCCTAAATTTCAAACTCTTCTCGCCTTCGATATAAGCAAACTTGTCTTTTTAAGAGGCCCTTCTCACTTTAGAAGGGAGACTGAATATGAATGTTATCTTTTTTATTTAAACAATTTTCATGTATTTTGGTTCATGGTGATTTACCATAATCATGGAGAAATCCAAAATGCTGAAATAAAGAAAGAGATTTTTGGTAATTCATGTCTACCACCTTCCATTAATATTAAGGAACTGTGTCCTTTGTAGCATTATGACATTAAATTAAAAAAAGAAAACTAGTTTTTTGTTTCCTCTGTGCTGACATTTTTTGGGTTTGGGGAAATTCAGGAGAGGTGATTGGTTTGGGAGCAAAGATATTTAATTATTTACTCTGAACAAAGCAGAGCTACTGATAGTCTTAGGTAAAATCTTTATGACTTTGAGTTGCCAAGATTGGAATAAGACTGCCATTTCATTGTCTTAAATTTTGAGTTATTTTATCTTTCTCTTAGATGATTGTAAAGAGATCTTTTAAAAAATTTATTCATAGTGGATGTTATATGGTGGTCTGCAGTATTAAGGTAATTTAACCCTTAGCACACGTCTGGAGAAACTATAAAGAAAACCTCTGTCTTCACCCTTTCATTAAATCACCAATTGGTTTATGTGAGTTTGAAGATTATTCTTTAAGTGCATTATCTTGAATGTTTTTCTTCTGTATTTGTCTGAAGACCACTATGCTTACTACATGCTCAAGTTTTTTATTTCTTCAATATAACACTCTCTAATCAGTCTCAAAGAGATTTTCTTCACCTCACCTCCTTGTTCACTTCCCAACGCAATGCAAAGTCACTTGCCTCTAACTCTGGTTAGTAGAGGTTGCCAGTGACTTTTTAATTGCTAAATAGTTTTCTGTCTTTATCTTATTTGATATTATAGCCTAATACTTCCTCTTTTGACATAGGCAGCAGTGATCACCCCCTCCATTTTATCTAGTGTAACATCTGCTGTTATTGCATTGTAATGCAATGTACTTGTTGCCTCACATTTTCTCTTTTCCTAGACTCTGAATTCTTTGAGACAGGGACTGTGGCCAGGATGGATCCTTAGTGATTATATAGTACAAACTCCTTTATTTTGTTTGTTTGAACTACATGCTCTTTAATTGCTAACTCTGTTTGACCTGCTTTCCATAAGTAGACTCATTAAAAATAGCACATTAATTGTAAACAAATGCATAAGCTAAAGTGCAAAGCAAGAAACTGGACCACTGTTTTCTACCATACAGAAAAATTAACTCAAAATGGATTAAAGACTTGAATGTAAGACCTGAAATCATAAAATTCCTAGAAGATAACATAGGTAGCAAGCTCCTTGACATCAGTCTTGGTGATGATTTTTTGAATCTGACACCAAAAGCAAAAGCAACAAAAGCAAAAATAAGTAAGACTACATCAAACTAAAAAGCTTCTGCACAGTAAAGGAAACCATCAACAAAATGAAAGGCAGCCTACTGAATGGGATAAAATATTTGCAAATCATATATCTGAAAGGAGTTAATATCTAAAATATATAAAGAACTCATACAACTCAATAGCAAAAAAAAAAAACCAACCCAAACAATCTTAATTAAAAAGTGGGCAGAAGATCTGAATAGATGTTTTTCCAAAGAAGGTGTACAGATGGCCAGCAGGTACATGAAAAGATGCTCTACATCATTAATCATCAGGGAAATGCAAATCAAAAAAACAATGAGATATCACCTCACACCTGTTAGAATGGCTGTTATCAAAAAGACTAGAAATAACAAGTGTTGTTAGGAATGTAGAGAAAAGGGAACCCTTGTGCACTGTTGATGTGGAATGTCAATTGGTACAGCCACTATGGAAAACAGTGTGGCAGCTTCTCAAAAAACTAAAACTAGAACTACCATATGATCCAGCAGTTCTACTTCTGGGTATTTATCCAAAGGAAAAAAAACACTTAACTCGAAAAGGTGTCTGCATCTCCATGTTCACTGCAGTATTATTTATAATAGCCAAGATATGGAAACAACCTAAGTGTTGTTGGATGACGGGATAAAGAAATTGTAGTATATACATACACATGCATATACCGGGGTGCCAAAATAATGTATACAAGTGGACACTTTGGTCAGCATTGCTCAAGCAGTAGTTCGCCGTGATCAAGAAGTGCCTGGACGTTGGGCTGGCCGAGTGGCTCAGTTGGTTAAGAGCTTGCTCAAGAGTTTGAGCTCTGAGCAACAGCAGTTTGATGCCTGGCCCGAGCTGAGTTGCCGCTGAGTTGCCGCTGAGCTGCCAAAAGGTGGCAGGATGGCTCAGGTAAAAAAAAATAAGAAGAAGAAGAAGAAGTGCCTGGACGCTGATAGTAACCACTTTGAGCAACTCTTGTAATTGCAGAAGTCAAACATGACTTGCATTCATCTTTTGTAATCAGTATATATTGAGTATTAAAATTTTAATACAGTTTTCCTTTCTTAAAATGTGTATACATTTTTTGGCACCCTGTGTGTGTGTGTGTGTGTGTGTGTGTGTGTGTGTGTGTGTGTGTATACTACAATTTATTATCAGCCATAAAGAATGAAATCTTGCCATTTGTGACAACATGGATGAACCTCAGATGCATTATACTAAGTGAAATAAGTCAGAGAAAGACAAATACCTTATGATCTTATACCCATATGTGGAATCTAGAAAAACAAACAAACAAACAAAATATATATATATAGGCTCATAGATATAGAGAACAGAATAAAGTGCATAATTTAATCTCTTAAATAAGATAAAAACATGCTCTGTAATGTGGTTAGCTGACAACAGTTTTGTTTTTAAATTTTTATTTGGCTGTGGATTGTTCAAAAATGGAATAGTCAAGTCTGAATACCAGAAATTCTAGATTTGTGGGATAGGAAAATGATTTGTATTATCTGGTGACTTAATATCCTAAACAAAATAACTTCTCTTTTTATCCATTTAGACCCTTGGAATTGGGATGTATTTCCTATCTTTGAGTGAGTCACACTTTTCATGCAAAATGTAGAAATCTTTTCTACAACATCACTGACCAGTTTGTTTCAACCTGGCTTTCCAGTGAAAGGTGTTTGATTAGTTTATAAGGCATCCTGTTTTCTTTATTCATCAGCTCCTCATTTGTTCATTCAGTCCTTTCAACAGCTCTTTTTTACAGATGAGGAAGCTAGGGTTGGGGAAGGGAGAGTAAGTCTAAGATCAGTGTCAAAAACCACCTACCTAGCAATTGGTGACTCAGTCACATCAGACTCTAGAGTTTATGTTCTTAATTACCATCACATGGCGCTTATGGACAATTCTTCCTAATTTGTTGAAGCGTACA